TTAGTACATACGGTTAACTCGACATTTTTACCGGTCTGAGTAAGATTGAATACCTTGTACTCTCTTAGATAATGGTGGGTGTTTTCTAAAGACGCCATAAACAATTAAATTTTGGCTTATATTATAAGGAAGTGTACGTTTGGTATACGTATGTAAACATCCGTACACGTAAACATTCCCTCTTCGATCGTGCCCTTTGGCACCCGGCCTTGTGCTCATTATAGTGCGGTATTTTCTGAAAAAGTGGGCAATGGCGCAATGCTAAAGTTTGCAAAGAACACATACTTGTCGCACCTTTATAACTTTCATTTGCTTTGAGAGACCAGTTTTGTTTCCCTCGGAATTAACTCAACGTTTGAATCTCAATCTTACTTGGGAAACAATGCAACTCTTGCAGACTCCCCTGATCGGTTGGTAGAGCACTGCACCCCAACGCAGGAGGTAATGAGTTCAATGGGCCCTTTGCATGAAGCAGTCACGTGGAACAAAAAACACCTCGCTGTAAGGCAAACAACGCCATGGTACCTTGAAAAGAAAGAATATTAGCTAATTTTGAATGATCTGATTTCTTTGTTTTTCTTGTCTCTCTGTATTGTTTGCCTTTCAGCAAGCTCAGCGTTTTTGTCCCATGTGGGTGTTTTGTATCCCATTCTGGGGATATAGTGATCGATTTCCGTACATGTATCTATTGCTTTATTCTGGACAAAATAACTCCCTGATTTCTATATAAAGACTAAGTATATATGATTGAAAACAATAAAGTTTATAGTGGCACATACCCATAAAACCCATGTAACACTCCTTCTTGCAGGCAACTTCAGCAAAGCAAGGGATTCCTGCGGGAGCATCTGCAAACTCAATGTCCTCTCTTGGTCGCAAAGTTCTGTTGGATCACTTATATGGTACTATTTATGGAAACTGCATTGGAGATGCTATTGGACTGCTGACTGAGTTCATGAATAAAACAAAGGCCATCAGTGTGAGTTTTTTTCTTTCCTGCTGTTTCTGTCAGGCTATCAAAATTTGTGTGTACATATGGCCAATCACAGTGGGCATCACTGGGCTGTTTCAATGGGAGGGGTGTGTGCTCTGGCTCAAGAAATAAAAGGCTAGCTTGCAGTTTAATGAGGGTTGATCCAGTCAATCCAGGAGATTAGACATACATTTAAGTATGTGCTTTAATTAATTTGGAAAGACCATAAACACTATTAATTATACACTATCACTTGGCTGCGTTAACACAAGCACAGGACACTAAATTGACGACTTCCACTGAAATTTTAGTCACCACCTACCTACAGTGGTAGCAAAAACAGTCAGGGCTTGTATCACTGGCTACTATCAGGGTTATGATTACTTTTCCGTGGATATTATTGGCTTGCGATAATTTTTAACTTTGTTTGTTGGGGGAATGGTGAGTTGTTATACTTTTTGGGCCAGAGTCTGTTTTCACCCAGGTGTAAATGTTACAGGTCAAAATTAGGTTGATTATCAATTTCCTTTTCAACTCTGGGCAATGCTCTCATCCTGGTTGCTCTACAAAAAGTTTCCGCCATTCATCCACCAACCAAGTTGTTATTTCGATGTCTAGCAGTTACTGATCTCTGTGTTGGTCTTATATCTCAACCACTTTACATTTACTACATTTTAACAATCTATCTCGATATTGGTAACCCCATTGTTGAAATTCTTGATGCAGACATCTTTTTCTATAACGTGTTGCTCGCGGTATCGCCCCTAACATCGGCTGCTATCAGTGTTGACAGACTTCTCGCTCTCTTATTGGGACTGAGATACAGACACGTTGTAACTTTATGCCGAGTTCGTGTGGTCATAGCTTGTTTTTGGCTCATTGCTGTTTCAAACTCTTCTTTGCTCTGGGTGTATTTAATCCCAGTGATAAGGTAAGACTTGCCATGTTGTGGACCTTCATAGTTTTAACATTGACTTCTGTAATAATCTCAACATTTTCGTACACGAAGATTTTTTTTACCCTCCGTCATCGACAAGCCCAAGTACAAGATCATGTTCAACCAGAAAAGTCGAGCAGAATAAGAAGTGTGCTGACCATAGCACGGTACAAGACAACAGTGTATAGCGCAGCTTGGATACAGTTTGCTATGCTTGCTTGTTATGGTCCTTATATTATATTGGCAATTTTATATAATTCGGGTAAAAAAAGCTATATTACCACTGAAATAGAAATCGCATTGGATTTTTCCTATTGTCTCGCCTTTTTCAATTCATCTCTGAATCCAGTCCTTTACTGTTGGAGGATCAAAGATGTCAGACAGCAAGTGAAGAACACCATTCGTAAGTGTCTTTGCTGTTGAGTTTACTTACAGTGACAGAGAAAAGATGCAACAGAACAATGAAGACAACTGGCCATCATGAACAGTGCCGCTACCATGATACCCGCGCACATAGTGATACCAAACACTACCTATACTGATAGGACATTTATGATTCATCTTATAGGTTATCCCTGTACTTTAATTTGATCGTTTTTTCTCTAAATAGGGTAATAAAAGAGGTTTGACGATGTTGAGGTCGGTATTTAAACGAAGTCTAACTTAGAGCGCGGTTTAAAAAGTCTTTGAACCTCTAGATCGCTTCCTTAGTGGGTTATTTTAAGAAGAAAAATGCTTTTCTATAGTCTATAGTTATAAGCTTTAATGAAACTGTTCACGAAAAATGGTGTTTTCTTTAAAAGCGTTCGGCGAAGTGAAAATGGCTTAGAATGCGTTTTTGTTAAACACTGGTTAAATTCCGTTTAAATATCTGACCCAAACAGTTCGATTGCCGGGGGTTGCCATTATTTTGAGTCAAAATTTGAAAGTTTCTTTTTGCTTGTTGTTGTTTTTTTTTTTGTCTTAATAGAGTGAGAACTTTAAAATTTGTCGATGGTAAGACTGCTAAAAAAAGCCAATAAACTGTTTATAAAGAGTTTCAGTCGGCTTATGCTCGCCGGGAAAATAAGGCCCCCTGTTACAGTCATTAATATTCACAGTTTATGCATGAAGTATAGCAGCGTAACCCCCGCACCTTAATTGTTATATTGAGATCTCTGCTGCTGAAGAGAAGAAAAGTAGATATTTTGGAAACATTGGTATCATAGGAATAAGGTTATATTTGATAAGTTAACAGATCTGTAATTAAAACTGATAAAAGTGAAGACCATTCAGAGTTCTCCCTGTTAACAGTTATGGTTTTCTCACCACCGCATTTTATAATTATTTACCTACTATAATTGTCTTTGTATAAACAGGAAGTTTAAAATAACGATTTGCATTTAAAATTAGGCGTTAGCAAGGAAAAATAAAAGTGCTGTCGCAAAGTGAAAATAGGCTTTTGACTGTTATTTTTTAACATTTAGCCCATTTACCTCAAAATTGAAAATGTGTCACTAAGTTTACTCAGGAGCCCATCAAAGATAAGCTTTCCGTGATCCTCAGGACGCTGCCTTTGTCCCATCTCTTCATGCGCTCAGTCTCAGTCGGGTAATTCATTAACTTTTATCTCACGATACCCAGATCCCAGCGGCCGTAAAATCGTAAAAAATGGACGTATAGTAAACTAGGAAAACGGTCGAAGGACGGGCTTCTGAGTTCGACTTCATCCAACTTTATTTTTTCACGGTGACATACGAGACTCACGGAAATATGACACTTTTCGCGGGAAACAAGCCGTTCTATTTATAAATCTACTCGGGAAAGGGTTGACTCAAGAAATTAATGAAGATGGAGGCTGCATTTGATGAGCTCCTGGTTTACTTTAATAGCACAGAACGCCTTTTTCTTGTACCATGCTGAATCAAAGGAGTAAGTTGAAAGTTAAATGAGCTGTGTTACGAAATTTACTCAAAATTCAAAAATTAAAAACAGACTTTTCACGAATCAAACAAAATTCAGCGTTTGATTTTATTTCAAGCCATTCGTAAGTGTCTTTGCTGTTGAGTTAACCCACAGTGATAGAGAAAAGATGCAACAGAACAATGGAGGCAACTGGCTTGTCACGAACAGTGCCGCTACCATGATACCCGCTATCTATAGTGATACCACACACTACCTATACTGATAGAACATTTATTGTTCATCGTATAGGCTATCCCTGTACTTTGATCGTTTCAGTTGTCTAAATAGAATAATAATAGATGTTTGACGATGTTTAAAGGCCGGTTATTTAAACGAAGTCTAAATTAGTGCGCGGTTTAAAGAGTCTTTGAACCTCTAGATCGCTTCCTTGGTGGGTTATTTTAAGAAGAAAACTTCTTTTCTAGTCTACGTTATAAGATGAAACTGTTCACGAAAAATTGCGTTTTATTTAAAAGCGTTCGGCGAAGTGAAAATGACGTAGAACGCGTTTTTCCAACTTCATCCTCCATGATCTATCTTCATTTCACATTCATCTGATTCATCTACCTTTATTAGCCTTCTCGGTCCATAGAACGGTCACCCCAGGACACCCCGGATGGATTTGATTTGCCCAGTGCCCAGGCCTCATTTGCTTGGCTGCGCTTTCATCTTTGTACACGAGTCGAGGTTGTCAAGTCTGCTGGATTCGTTTCTCTAGCTGGGAAAGCTTCATTAGTTTCTATATCTGATGCTATCCTATTTCTACGATCCTAGCATGTTTATTTACTGTTGGAGGTCGAATTTCGTAAAAAAAGTTGTGTTGGAAAAGGGAGCATGGCGACCGAGATGCCGTGCCTCTTACCTTGTGTATTATATTGTATGGAGGGTGAATTTGAGCAAACTATCACGAAAATTCGTTTGAACATTAAGGACAACAACAACTAACTGCAGAGTAAGTTTCATTGACCATTATTCAGTATTTCCTACAAATTTTAGGATCGTATTTTTACTCCATACACTAAAAGTTACGAGAACACAGAACCTGGGAAGCCTGTGGTCTTACGTACAAAATAGAGTTGCGCCGTGATATGCAATCGAAGAAATAATGCAAGGGTTAGCATATTCGAAAATTATTTAAGGGCCCACGTAAAAGTGAAGCTGCCTTTCATGAGCTGACCGCT